ATGGTAAATACAATCACACTGTGAAGTTCCTGGCATATAGAAGCTCCTTAACAAGTATTAGGTGATATTGAGAAATATTAATGCTGGCAGTAGGACTGGAGCAGGGTCCTGGAGGCACCCTGGTGTGTCAGGAGTCGCTTCATTTAGTTGCTAGATCATGAGGAGAGCCAAGTGGTCTGGGGGAAAGGACTAGTGCATGGAGAAACTGGTGATGGTGGAGGTGGGGTAGTTGGCAGCAGCTCTTCACCAACAAGTACAGAAATATTTCAATAGTTTGTTTATCAGTGATTGAATACCCTTACTAGCCAGCTGTCAAAAGAAAAAAAAAAAAGGTTAACCAATGGTGTCATATTTACCATACTGGGTGAAAAACCATCTCTGCCTTCCTGATATTCAGTACTGTACTCTTTCTGGTTCACTTCCTCTCTTTTGAGAAGTTTTTTCCAGTCTTTAATCAACAAATATTTATTAAACATATGTCATGTACCAGGTCCTGTGGGTGCAGCAGAGAAGAAGTCAAAGTCTCTGCCCACTGGAATCTTATATTCTAACTTCATGCCTCTTCTTCTTCACCCTTCCCCTAAGTATGGATATTCTATAAGTCTTCAGCTGTTTTCTCTTATTTCTATGAAATGGCTTCAGTGATCACTTCTGTGAAGAATGGTATCAGAAGTATGTATATATCTCTAAATAAACATACCTACATTTCTACCTGCCTTCTGGACATTGTCAATAGCTTTCCTACCAAGACATCAGATCTGTGTACAAAACTGAAGTTGTTATCTCTGATCTTCCTCTTCTGTGTTCCTGCCTTGTTAAATAGCATCATCCTTCTGAAAATTACTCCTGTCTCAAAGCCTTTCTCTCCATGCTCTTCCTTACCAACATCTAGTTAGGTGATACTAAGTCCTTAGGCTTTATCCTAGCCTCTTGCATGTCTTTTCTTTTAGACTCTTAACTGATACTAGCTCTGTGTTAGGCACAGAATAAGACATTGGTTAATCTTTATATATTAATTATTTAGATTTTAATTGTGCAACTCAGTTTCAGAAAGGTGCTATAACACCTTCTAAAAACAGCTTTTATTACTCATTCAGCATTTAAAAAATATTTTTGGAGTACTTATTAGAGGACAAAAATCTGTGCCCCCTTAGAGGTTACATTCTTTTAAAATTCTTTAAAAAATTATCTTGAAATTATTATTTATGTATAAATATATAAAATATATATTACACTTAGAAAGTATGAAATATTAAGCATATATATATATTTTAAATGCATTATTTATTCCTAAGGCTAATGGACGATTTGAAGTGGGCAAGAAAATCTGTTTGAGCATCTCAGGACATCATCCTGAAACTTGGCAGCCTTCGTGGAGTAGTAAGTATTAATTTATGTGAATAAAAATCTTATATAACTTTAGCCAATTCATAAATATGAAGTATAATACCTTGAGATTGAAGCTGTTTGGGATAAATAATTTGATATTACTGAATAAATAATAAAGATGCTTTTCATGTCTAGATTTTTCCACCATTTTAATACAACCCCCATACCTGTGTCTCTTCTATGAAAGTCTTCAAGTCTTTTTTTTTCTCTTTCCAGAGCAGATCCAGTTCCTTTTACAAAGCAACTTACATTAATGTTTAATTTTTTATTTCAGTAAGGACAGCATTATTAGCCATCATTGGGTTTATGCCAACAAAAGGAGAGGGAGCCATAGGTTCTCTAGATTACACACCTGAGGAAAGAAGAGCACTTGCCAAAAAGTAAGTTTTGCATGTCATTCTCTGTTAACATCTGAATACTATTCTGGTTAATAACTGTTAGGAGATAGGCTCTGTCTCTTACTTTGTAAGTTACTGTGACTACAGGATCTGGTCTTAACTTTGTTATTTTAGAAATTCAATTGTACTAATTTCCTTGGGGTGACCAGAATCTAAAGAATTGATTTCATGCTATCTAGTTTTTAAAAGTAGTTGATAATATCCCACTAAGATTTATTTTACTACAGTGGGAGATATATGAGGGTACTTCAGAAAGTTTATGGAAAGTTTTTCTTTTCTTCTAATTCTATTTTTCCACAAACTTTTTGAAGTACCCTCGTATTCTCCTGTACTGGTCATTAGTCTCCACTTGGACAGTATTACAGATGGAAAAGAACCAGAGCAATGATTTTTATGTAGCTTTCCACAAGATTAAAAACTCCTTGAGGGGGCCAGCCCGGTGGCGCACTGGATAAGTGTGCCGCTTGGGAAGCGCGGCGGCGCTCCCGCCCGAGGGTTCGGATCCCACATACAGACCGGTTCCTGCTCACTGGCTGAGCGAGGTGTGGGCGCAACACCGAGGGTTGCGATCCCGCTGCTGGTCCCCTGTCCGGTACGGGGGCAACACTGAGGGTTGCGATCCGTTGCCGGACACGGAAAAAGACAAAAGACAAAAAAAAAAAACTCCTTGAGGGCAGGGAGGGAATCCATTTTATGCATCTTTGTATCTACAACACTGAGGGTTGCGATCCGTTGCCGGACACGGAAAAAGACAAAAGACAAAAAAAAAAACTCCTTGAGGGCAGGGAGGGAATCCATTTTATGCATCTTTGTATCTATAGTATCTAGCTAATAGCAAGTGCTCAATAAATGATCTGGAATAAAGCAAAGGAGATTTTCT